CTATAGTTTTCTTTTTCTGCTTTGACTCTCCCTGGTTTAGGTATCAAGACCATATTTGTGTCATGGAAGGAATTTGGGAGGATTCTTTATTTTTTGAAAAAGTTTATATAGTAGTGGAATTAATTATTTTTTATTCTTTAAATATTTGTAGCATTTGTAAATCCATCTGCACCTGGTTTTGGAAGTTCATTGATGGATTGTTCAATTTCTTCTTCTAAGATAGGGTTATTAAGTGTTGTATTTCTTATTCTGTTAATTTGGACAATTTATATTTGTGTAAATATTCATCCATTACATTTAGATTGTCAGTTTTATTGGTATACAATTGTATAAAATAGCTCCTAATAATTGTTTCTATTTATTCTTCATTAGTTGTAAATTCATCTTTTTCATTTCTAATACTAGCAATTTAGTTTTCTTTTTAAGATAAAATTAGCTAATGACTTACCTATTTTCTTCTTCTTCTTCTTCTTCAAACGAGTTCCTGGTTTTATTTATTAGTTTGATGGGCTTTTTTTTTTTAACTTTCAATTTTGTTAACTTCTTTGATTTTCAGACTTTCCATTTTGGTGCTTAATTGGATTTTAAAAAAATTATTGATTTTCTAGTTTTTTAGTTGCATGCCCAATTCATTAATCTGTTCTTTCTCTCTTGATATAAGCAATTAGAGATTAAAAATTTCCCATCAGTACTGTTTTGTCTGCATTCCACAAATGTTGGCATTTTATCTCATTGTTGTCATTATCTCTGAATGAAATTATTGATTTTTTTCTATAATTTGTTCTTGGACCCACCCATTCTTTAGGATTAAGTTATTTACTTTCCAATTAATTTTAATGTTTAATTCAAAGGCCTTTTATTGAATGTAATTTTTATTGCATTATGTTCAGTAAAACATGCATTAATAGTTCTGCCTTTCTTTAGATTTGTTTATGCCCTAACAGTCAGTTTTTGTGAAAGTGTAATCCACAGTTGAAATAGGTATATACCTTTCTATTCCCATTCAATATTCTCCAGAGAGCTATCATACGTAATTTTTCTAAAATTCTATCCATCTCCTTAACTTCTTTCTTGTTTATGGTTAGATTTATCTAGATCTGAGACAGGTGAATTAAGGCCTCCCAAGATCACAGTTTTGCTTGCAGTTTAACTTTTTCTTTAAGAATTTCTATGCATGGGGGGAGGGGAGGCAGCAAGGTGGCACAATGAAGAGAGCACTGGCCCAGGAGTCAGGAAGACCTGAGTTCCAATCTAGCCTCAGACACATAACACTCACTAGCTGTGTTAACTCTGGGTAAGTCACTTAACCCAATTGCCTCACCAAAAAAACAAAAACAAAAACAAAAAAATACCAAAAAACCCCCCAACAACACTATAGTCCATAATATTTAGTATTAAATATATCATACTATAAAATGCAGGTGATATACCTTTAGCTCCAGCCTTGGAATCAGGAGGACCTGAGTTCAAATCTGACCTCAGACACTTGATGCTTATTCGCTGCATGACCCTGGGCAAGTCACTTAACCCAGATTGCCTCACTTAAAAAAAGAGAGAATTTAGATGCATGCCATCTGGTGCATATATGTGTAGTATTGATATTAATTCATTGTCTACGTTCTTAGCAAAATGTAGTTTTCCTGTTTCTCTCTTTTAATTAGGTTTATTTTACTTTTGCTTTGTCTGAGATCATGATTGTTAACCTTTGCCTTTTTTTTTTAACTTCAGCTGAAGCCCCTCATTTTAACTTTGTGTATATTTCTCTATTTCAAATGTTTCTTGTAAACAACATATTGTTCCATTCTGGTTTCAAATACATTCTGCTATTCTCTTCCATTTTATGGGTGAGTTCATTTCATTCACATTCATGATTGCTAATTATATATTTCCCTCTACCCAATCTCTTATATTTTTCTTTCCCTTTTTAAGAGTCTATTTTGGTTTTGACTAATGCCTCCCTTAATCCACCCTCTCTCTAATCTTTTTTCTCCTATATTCTTGTTGGGTAAGATGTGTTTCTGTACTCAACAGTGTGTGTATATGTATTCTTTCCTCCTTAAATCAGTTTATGTGATGGGGCAGCTACGTGGCACAGTGAATACAGCTCTGGCCTTGGAATCAGGAAGACCTGAGTTCAAATCCGCCATCAGACACTTGACACTTACTAACTGTGTGACCCTGGGCAAGTCACTTAACTCCGATTGCCTCACTAAAAAAAAAAAAGCAAAAAAAAAAATCAGCTTATGTGCGAGTAAGGTTCAAGTGTCTCCTGCTCCTCTCTACTTTCCCCTCCAATGTATAAATTCCTTATTTCACAGCCCATTTATATAAGATAATTTCCCTCATATTTCCTCTCCCTTGGGGCAGCGAGGTGGTGCAGTGGATAGAGCACCGGCCCTGAAGTCAGGAGGACCTGAGTTCAAATCCGGCCTCAGACCAAACACTTGACACATACTAGCTGTGTGACCTTGGGCAAGTCACTTAACCTCGATTGCCTCACCAAAAAAAAAAAAAACAACAAACCCCCCAAAAACATATTTCCTCTCCCTTCCCTTCTCTCTCAGTGAATTCCTCTTTACCACCCTTTCCATTCTTCTTTTTGAGATCATTTAAATTTAACAGAATCACACCTGACCTGTTTAATTAGACTCCTCTGAGATCCCTGGTGATGACAAGGTTCTGAGGTTATGCATCTGTTATCTTCAGATATGAGAACGTTAGCAGTTTAAACCTTATGTAGCCTCTTATGGTTTCTCACCAATATTGACCTTTTTTATACATCTCTTGATGCCATATTTATATGCCAAGTTTTCATTAAGAATGCTGGGGAATCTTCTATTTCATTAAAGGTCTATTTCCCCTGTAAGATTATACTAAGCTTTTCTGGGGAGGTTATTCCTTATCATAATCCTTGATTCTCTGCCTTTTGGTTACTTAGGGTTGTAGATACTCAATCTTACGTAATCCTGACTGTGGCAGCCTGGTACTTGAATTCTTTCTCCCTTGACTTGGGAGTTTTAGATTTTGGCTATGATATTTCTGGGAGTTTTCGTTTTTCAGTTTCTTTCAGGGGGTGACTGATGGATTCTTTCAATTATTTCTACTTTTCCCTCTAGTTCTAAGTTATCTGGGCAGTTTTCTTTTATGATTTCCTGAAATATGATGTCTAGACTTCATTTTTGTTCTTGGCTTTCAGGTAGCTCGATGATTCTTAAATTATCTCTCTTCAATCTGTTTTTCAGGGCAGTTATTTTTCCTATGAAATGTTTCACATTTTCTTCTATTTTTCTAGAATTTTTACTTTTATTATTTCTTGATGTATTATAAAATCATTGGCTTCCAATGGCCAATTCTAATTTTCAAAGAGTTATTTTCTTCAGTATGGTTTTGTTCCTTTTCCCAAACTGTTCGTTCTTTTTTCTATCTTTTTCCCCCATCACTCTCACTTTGTTTCCAATTTCTTCTTCTACCACTCTCATTTTATTTTAATAATAATTTTTAGGGGCAGCTAGGTGGCGCAGCGCATAGAGCACTGGCCCTGGATTATGGAGGACCTGAGTTCAAATCTGGCCTTAGACACATAACACTCACTAGCTGTGTGACCCTGGGCAAGTCACTTAACCCCATTGCCTAAACCAAATAACAACAATAATTTTTAGCTTTTAAAAAACAAAAACCAAAACCTCATGCTTGAATTCTTCTAGGATTTCTTGCTGTACTTGTGTCCAAGCTGCATTTTTCCATGAGGCTTTATTTGTAGATGTTTTCGAGTCATTCCCTTCTGTGTTTGTGTCTTGAGCTTCCCTGGTACCTATTAACTCGTTATTTGCTCATCTTTCTAGACTCTTTCCAGACTTTGGACTTTACGCCCCCATCAGATTGTGAGATTCCTGAGGGCAGACTCTGTGCTTTGCTTTTTTTTTTGTATCCCCAGAGCTTAGCACAGTAGCGGGCACATAGTAGGCAGTTAATAAGTGTTTGCTTGATAATTGGGCTCTGCTTACTTTGGGGGTGGGGGTGGGGGGTGATAACGTCTAAAAGAGAGGTCTTTTCACTGCCTTCCTGGTTTGAGTTCTTCAAGTTCCTGACCCAGGTTTGGGTCTATTGGCTTGTATTCAGCTGAGAGTTCCAGTAGCACTGGACTGCAGCTGGAGTCATTCACCCTCTGGGGCAGTTCTGCGAGAAGGCGGGCTAGAGTGACTGGATAGCTGGCTCTCCTTTGGGCTAGGACTCCAGCATGGTTATTCCATCGCAGGCTTAGAGGCTGTGCTAAAGACTAGGAGTGAGTTATTTTTCTGCTCCTGAGATCAGAGCTGCCCAGCTCTGTTTCTGTAATTTGTTCCTTGCTCAGCACACACCTAAGGCCCGTACTTGTGACTGACCCCTCCTGATTGCTCCTCTCCACATGTGACCTGCACCTAGTGCTAGCCCAGGGATCCCCTGTGATCTCTTCCTGCCCTCTCTCAGTTCAATTTCTATTTCTAGGTGCTGGGTATGTCTCTCCTGACCAGACCCACTCCAGAGCCCGCACTCCTTTCTGCTTCTCTCCCTAAGCTTTCCACTGTAGCCTGTCCGTAGCTTTCCTGATCAGAAACAGGCCTGGTACACTTTCTAGATTGTTGGGAAGAAGGGATAAGGAGGAGTTTGGCTCCTGCTTCCTCTCCCTCCACCAGCTTGACTCCATTTCTATTTCGGTTGTTAACAATATTATATATTTCAAAGCAGAGCATGGTTTTCCATGCGAACATGAAATGCTCTAGAAGTCTCACTATCCTTGGGTTTTTGCAGTTCATGGATAAGCCATGAGTGTGGAACTGAGTCAAAGGCTTTTTAAAGATTATCTTTAAAGAAATAAAAAATCTTGAAGCTTTTGTGTGCTTTGTTTAAGCTTTCCACTTTTGTCCTCTCCCCATGCCCTTCTCCCTCCTCTGAGGAGCCTTTGGTCCAGTGAGGCTCCTTCCCCCTGACCTAAACACACAGGCCACACAGCACATGCAATTGGCTCTTTATTGTTGGTTTCACATGGGGTTATCCCAAGCTGGACTTGGGAAGGAGGGATCTTGGAACCCTTGTCTGTCTTCCTCCAGGTGCTCAGATTTGGGTCTCCTGGCTTCAACTCTGCACCCATTCTGGTCATGCTAGGACTAGGTCAGCAAGACTCCCAGGGTATAGCCAAGGCCAGGACCACATGGATAAGATGAATTATGATACACCACCTAGAAGAAAGACCTATTGCGGGAACAGAGGGAAAGGCTGTGGAGGACCAGATGCTAAGGCCCTTATCCCACCCAGAATCCTCCAGTGGGGGAAGCAAATTCTCAGCCAGCTCTCCATTCCTGGGGTTACTCACCACCACTTAGCAACAGGACGTCACTGGCAGTTGACCAATGATGAGGTTCACCACTCATGTAGCCATAGCATCTGTATCTCCCGTTCATATCCTCCGTTTTGTTGTACAGAATGACGACAGCCTCATTCTTTTTGATGCTCTGGGCCATAATGACCTTGAATTCATATTCTAGTTTGCCATGGTACAGGACAAAGTTGTCCAAGCCCACGCTGGAGTTACAGTGAATGGTGACATTGCCGCCCGGGGGCACCGAGTGGCCAGGAACTGCCCACAGTAGGGGTTTTTCATAAAGGCCTGTAAGAGGAGACCATGGAAATCAGAGGGAGCTGATCTCCTCCCTTCCTGGATTCCTGGTTCTGGACTGTGTGAGGGAGAAGGACAGCTGAGGGTCTATCCTCTCCTCCTGGAAACAAGGAGTATGGCCATGGACTGAAAGACCCACTTTCCTCATCACTTCCAACTCTATCCTCTTCTCCTAAGGGCACAGATGAGAGTCCCTAGCTCCCTTGACACCCTCAGATTGACTTTGAAGGCGCTTGAGGCCAGTTCTGTGAGGAAGAGGAAGAGGAGAAGGAGGAGGGTACAGGCTGGGACCATCCAGGGGAATGGAGGCCTGGAGAAAGAATTGTCACACTTCCATTTGCTGTGTGGTTCTCTCTGAAACTCAATTTCTTCCCTGATGAAGTGAGATGGTTGGGATATCTCCAATGTTTCTTCCTGATCTAATAGTCCATAATTCTACAGCTTGGGGGCCATGTCAGTGAGGAGGATGGAGCAGCCCAGGGAGATGATGGGATGATTGCCCCTTAGGTGGCCCAATGAGGAAGACGCTGCTTCAACCCAATGGGGCTCTGGGACGAGGGGCCTCTATTGCCTATGTACCCATGCAAGCACGTTTGCCAACCACTAGAAACTTCAGGCAGAGGAAGCCTAAGGATTGCTTATCTTTGTACCACCAATATCCAGGCAAGGGCAATCAGAAGGTTGGCAGACCAAGGTGATGGGGGGGGGTGGAGAATACTCGTAGGATTTAGAGTTGAGAGGGAACTTAGCTATGATTTGGTCCACACCTCTCATTTTACAGATGGAGAAACTAAGTCTCAGAAGGGACTTGCCCAAAGTCACGTGGCCAATAGTAATAGTAGCCGTAATAAGAACAATGATAACTTGCTGTTTTTAATTTAAAACATCGTCAGCAGGATGTATGTAATTAGTAGGAAACATGGCCTGTTTCAGGGAGAAGGGTTAAACCCAGTATGGCTCTACCAAGCCTTAAATCTCCTAAATAGAATTAAATAAGATTTGCAAATTAAAAGTGAGCCCAAACTTCATGTTAATCACTCATGTACTACCCAAAAGTTTCTTTGATCTAGGGCAATCTTTCTCCACGGACTTCAACTTAGTATTTGGATTCAGTAATGTAGGCCAAGAAAGGAGAGCGCTCCATGGCTCAGAGCTTGAGTCCAGGGGTCTCACTGAACCATTGACCTTCTCCTCCTCCTCCTTGGGACAGACACACTGAGTGTAAAGATGTCAAGGAGAAGGCTGGGACTGAATGTGCAGAGACCTACTGGCATCCTGAAGTCAAAACTGAATGACCAGAGCCTGACTGGATCAGCTGTTGCCTAAACTACACCAGTCTTGCTGAACATTTTCAGACCTGGAAAATGGACAATGGTAACAAAATCCAGGGCCCAACACCCTAAAGCAGTGATAGGAAGCTTTGTGCTTCCTCACGAAAAAGGAGGGAAGAGGACAGACATTCTTAAAATACATGACAAACGGGTCAAAATCTTACAGAAACACTTTTTTTGAATAAGCAGATGCCAATTCACCTAGCATTAATCACAGCTGATAACAGGTACATGTGGGATGTACTGAATGTATCCAAAAGTGACTCACCGCTAGGTGGAGTCTGAAATGACAGAGACCCAACAGTGGAATCAAAGGGCCGTCCTGTGGGTGATGTCCTTGTGAATACACCCAACGATATGTTGGCACAGAAGCACTGAACAAATGGTTGAGCTGAGCAGATCTGCTGTTGTAAGTGGAGGGGTTCATACAGGGGGGTGCTGGGGCCAGCGTGTACTGGTTAGACTTAAGAAAGGGATGGAGAAATGGAAATAAGGGAAATTAACCTTTAAAAGTGTGTCCTGTGTTTTTGGAGGAACTGGCTGTTAAACATTCAGAGGCAAACCCTTGGGTTTTTGATGGTGTCTTAAAAGACCGGGTTCTTGCCACCAGAAACTGCAGAAAGTTTACCTTTAAGGAGTCTGGGCTTGGTGTTCAATGTAGATCAACAAGAAGTGGGAGAGACTATGGAGCCCAGAATGACATGACCAGGTGGCTAGAAGGATACACCCAAAGCTAGCTATCTCTCATGGACTGACAGATAACAAACCCCACTACCACAAAGTCCTGGACTGCTCTCCCCATGGAATGAACCTGGAAATCATAGCGCAGACTCCACTGTTGCCCCCAGCTGCCCAGACAGACCACTGATCTGTAGGGTTTCTGGAGATCTCCAAACTACGCTGAAAGAAAGGCTTTCCAAACCCAGGCGTCTGGATAAGGAGGTCAGAATGGTGGGAGAACAGAAAGAAGGCTGATGCCCACATCATCTCACCAGCAGCTTGAGGCCACAGACTCAGAAGATGGTTTTCCTTGAGTCTAGAAAGGATGGACTTACTTCCTCACACTTTTATTCAACTACAATCCTGTTTCATCCCTAGGGCAACAGTGCCTGGACAGAGCCATGAATAGAAAGGAATACCAGCAGGACTTGTCCCAGGAGGGCTTCTGTCTGGACCCCATCAAAAAAGGAAAGGGAGAACAACCCCTCCAGTGACTCCCTCCCACCTCCAGCATCACCTTGTTTGGCTTTTAAAGCCCATCACAATCTACTCCCAACCCACCTTGAGAGAGGAAGGGAGGGAGGGAGAGTGGGGGGAAAGGAGGGAGAGAGAGAGAGAAAGAAAGAAGGGTGGAGAGAGAGAGCGAGAGAGCATGAGCCTGACTGAGCCTGAGCCAGCACCAGCACAGATCTGGACAACTGAAATGCCCTTCCCCTCACTCAATCCTGTCTCTGGGTCAGTCCTGTGGCTCAGTTTCCCAGGCTCCTCCTCTCTGTGTAGATGTCTGTGGCACAGACCCCCTCCGTCTCTCCTCCTTCGGCCTTCCCCACTCGGAACAGCTCTTTCCTGACATCCGGCCCCCTGGGTCACCTCTCCCATCCTGTCCCTGGTGCCACTCTCTTCCAAGGCGCAGCTCTTCACATACAGCTCTCATGCCCCTGGAACCTCCTCCTTTCCAGGCTGTGGCACGACCTCAGCCCCTCCGTACCCAGCCCCCTCCTCTGGGTATTCTCCAGGTGACTGGAATTCTTAAACACAGTGCCTTGAACTGAAGATCCCTGAACTTGAACTGAAGAGCTGGGCAGAGGATGGTGGGGCTCATGCCCTCCTTGGTCCCGGAGGCAATCCTCATTCCCCACCCCCACCAGCAGCCTGTTTTGGGGAAGAGGGTGGGGGTCTGCCAGCCTCGGGTCTCTCCCTGCTTCAGTCCATCTCCCATTCAGCCACCTAAAGCCTAGGCTGGACCACCTCACCCCCTGCCCCCCATCCACGGTTCCCAAGGCTCCACCCTCAGCCCCCTAAGACCCCACTCCTCTGGCCTTCTTTCACCAGATGCTCATATATCGAGTGGCCGGTGACCACTGTGTGTGTTGTACGACCCCGGGCAAGTCACTGACCCTTGTCTTCCTCTGTTTCCTCAACTGTAAAACAGAGATCACAGCAGCACCTCCCTTCCAGGGTTCCAACGAGAAGCTGGTCAATGCCTTAGCGCAGTGCCCGGCACACAGGAAGCGCCTAATAAATTCTGGTTGACCCGCGGACTGACCTTAAGGATCAAAAGGCGCCCCGGGCCAAAATCCTCAGTGCCTCGACGGCTCACTGAGGTCATCTCCCCTCCACGAGTGGAGGGCCCCTGGCGCGCGGATGTGTGGGCCTGGGGAGGAGGGGAGGAGGGCAGGGGCCCACGGCCCTCCCTTGGCTTGCGGGGAAGGGGGGGGAGGCGGGGGGGTGCCTTCTCACCGGACACGTTCACGTCCAGGGGCTTACTGAGCTTGGACCAGAAGGAGTGGAACTCGTAGCCACAGCGGAAGCGGCCGGCGTGCAGCAGGTCGGCTTTGGGGTAGTGGAACACGGAGCTCTTGCTTTCCCAGCTGGACTCACTGAAGTTCAGGGGCTCCTCGACGGCCTCCTTGTAGACACGGTAGCTCACGGCATCCTGCGGCCCCGTGCAGTGCAGCTTCAGGGGCTGCCCCAGCGGCACCGGGTACTTGGGCTCCGCCTCGAACACGGGCGGAGGCATGTCGTCTGCAAAGGCAAGCGGGGGCCTGGGGTCCGCGAGTCCGCTGCAGGCCCGCCCCCGGGGCCCCTCCCGCTCCCGCTCCCCTCCCCCCGCCCCGGGCTGCAGGGGCCGGGATGGGCCCGAGAAAGACTCACGGAAGGTCTCCAACGCCTGCACCACGCAGAATCCTGTTAGAAAGTGCCCCCGATGAGACACGGCTCCCCTGGGCCCCAGACCCCAGCCCTTCCTGCCTGCCCCATCCCCCGGCTCAGGACCCCCGGACTCCTCCCTTTCTATCCCCTTCCCCTCTGCGCCCCCAGGTCAGACCCCCGTGCCCCTCCCACCCTCCCAGACTCACTGAGGCACAACAGGGCGGCCAGGGAAGGGCCCATGGTTCTGAGGGGTCTTCCCTTCCTGGGCAGGCAGGGAGCACGTGGGAGGCGCAGCAGGTCCCCCAGGGTGTGTGTGTGTGGGGGGAAGCAGCCCTGCCATTGGCTCGTCCTCCCCCACGTGATTGCTCTGGCAAAGCGGAGCCGCGGGAAGTGACTGGGGGCCGCAGGCATGGGCTTGATTCAAACGCTAACAGTAACAACACTAGGGGCCCTGAGGTTCTTTCTGCGCAGTCTGCATGCAGGCGTGTTCGCCCGTGTTCACCGAGGCAGTGCCCACCTGGAGGCTGTCTCTGGGTCTGCAAGGCTGGGGCAGTGGGGGGGGGGGAACCACTGGCCTACCTGGGATCGAGGCTTTGGCGCCCGAGGTCAAGCCAAGCAAAACGCATTTATTAAGTGCCAACTGTGTGCCGGGCACTGGGAGAGGCAAAAGACAGACCTGCCGTAATGGGGGAGACAAATGGCAAACACCTTGAAGATGATCTTGGAGGGGTCACGAGGGTTGAGGAGGGAGAGCCTTTTAGGAATGGGGCACCCCGAAGAGAATGCATTTAGCGAGGAGATGGAAAGCAAGGAGGTCAGTGCCACTGGGTGGTGGAGGCTGGCAGTAAGGTGTAAAAGAGCCAGATGATCGAGGGCTTTGAAAGCCAAACTGAGGAGTTTCCATTTATGTACCTGAGGCAGAAAGGTGGCGCAGTGGTTAGAGTACAGGACCTGGAGTCAGGAAGACCTGAGTTCAAATCTAGCCTCTGACGCTTGTGGGACACTGAGCAAACCACCTAACCTCTGTCTGCCTTGGTTTCCCCATCTGTAAAATGGTCATGATAATAGCACCTACCTGGGAGGTAGCTGTTGTGAAGGTCACTTGAGGTAACATGTATGAAGCACCCTCCAAAGCTCACCGTGCTAAGTGAACTATTATCATTCTATTGGCTTCTGGAAATGGTGGGGACCAAATAGAGTTTATTAGGTCAGAGGGTGCCATCAGACCAGCACTTCAGGAAGACCAGTTTGACAGCAGAGTAGAGGATGGACAGGAGGGGAGGGGAAGAGTGGGAATGTGTTTTTTACTTTTATTCTCACCAAGTCTGCTTAATAAATATCCTGGGGTACTGATCACGACACGGGGGAAATATGAATTCTAACTAGCTGGTCGATACCGGGGAGAGCACACCAGAATGAGAGTTCCAGCTTCTAACACTAGAAGAACCCTAATTCCCCTCAGGGGAGGGAGTCTTTCTCAGTGGTCAGCATCCTCCCCTTTCTCTAGGCTGTAGAGATCACCTCCAGGGGCTACTCATTTCTCTACAGTGATTATGGACCCGGCATAGTCTGGAGGGGAGTTTGAGGAGAGTGTCAGCCAGTCAATCTTGGCTTATTAAACAATTCCTTTCTGATCAGCACCCTGCTAAGCCCTGGGGATACATGAGCCTTGCCCTAATGGGGGAGACAGAAAGGCCAACAACATAAGCTTATAGAGAAGAAGTGGGGATGGCCAACCTGGATTTCCAGGTGGCCCCCACACGGCCTCTTCATTTAGCCCACAGAGCCAAAGCCCAGGGGCCAGGACTGACTAATGAGGCCAGGTGGCAAGCAGATCCCTGAGCTTCGGACAGTACCCCCAGCAGACCCACCCGGACCCTATTTCTCTTCTCCTGGTGGTGTCAGTCTCTGCTGGGCCAGGATGAGGAGGGGATGGGCCATGTAGGACTCCCCTGGTGTGGCCAGCCTCGGGCTGTTGGAGATTCCTTGGGGGTGACAGGTGGCTCTCCCAGCCACATTCCCCATCCCGTTTTGTCCCTAGGGCCTGAGACTTCAGAATGCTGTTGAAGGTCCCTCACTGGGGTGCCTCTCTTCATCCCCAAGGACTTCTTCCTCCCTCCTTGAGGTCCAGGATGCAGTCACTGGGGTAGGTGGAGGCAGGGGCCAGGTAGCCAAGTTCTGAGTCGGAATTCCAGATAGAGAGCCCATGTGGGTGGGAGGGAACAAGGGGGTTGAGGCTGGTGCCTGGCCCATAGTAGGTGTTTAATAAATATTTATTGAATGAATAACCTTGCCTCCTTCTTCCTGTCACCCTTCAGAGTTTGGTTAAAAGGAGGCAAACTAGGATAGATAGATAGAGAGATAGATAATAGAGAGATAGATAGATAGATAGATAGATAGATAGATAGATAGATAGATAGATAGATATAGTTTATTCCCTTTAAGCTAGCTGGAAACATGCATGCATGGGAATCGGAAAATAATTCCGAGCTCCCACAAGGCTTAGCTGAAGGTTTTTTGTTTTGTTTTTGTTTTTATCTTTTTCTTCTTTTTTTTTTTGGTATGCCTATTGGGGTTAAGTGACTTTCCCAGAGTCACACAGCTGGTAAGTGTTATGTATGTGAGGTTGGATTTGAACTCAGTCCTCCTGACTCCAGGCTGAAGTTTTTATAACCATAGAGTAACCCCCCTTTGCAGTCCCCCCACAACACCCCAGTGTCCTTCCTTAGCCAAAATTGGAGTTCCACAAAACAGATAGGGTGACCCTGGGATGCCTGGCTTTCTGCCAACCATAAACACAGAGTATCGTAAAACAGGGGGTGTCAAGATGGTGCCTCTAGCAAGGGAGGGCCCTAAAAAGATAAGGGAAATGTCCAGTGGGCCATGTCCTTGGCAGAAGAATGTTCCCAGTCAGCAAAATCCAGCAGGGGGCCAGCCTGCAAAGCACGTCTGTTGTGCCAAGGTGCTTCCTCCGGCTGGTTAGTCCAGGTTTTGGCCTTCACTGGGGCTCAAATGACCTCAAAGAATCATCCTTCCCCGTGGGACTCAGGCCAGCCCTTCCCCCAACAGTCACTGGTGTACCTGACCGGCAGGGGGCGATGTGGTACAATTCCATCTCAGGCCCTGGCCTTGGATGTCCCATAAGTCAGTTTCCCAATCTGTTAAATGGGGATAATAATTCCACAAAGATTGAACTGAACAATTGAGGTGGCACTTGCCTTGCCTGGTGATTATTCTTCTTTTCAATTAACCCAAATCCACTTTCCTACTCCTCTAATCCATCCCATCTCCCATAAAACCAAACCCAACCAAACCCTTGTAAACATGAATAGTCAAGCAAACATGACCTCCCTCCCCACTCTAGCCCCTCTCTGTCAGGAGGCGGGCAGCACGTCTCATCTTGAGTCCTCCAGAACTGTGCTGGATCGCTGCCTCCATCAGAATTTTAAGTGTTTTAATGTCATTTTTTTCCACATTTTAAAAATTATTTTGCCTTATTACAAATGCTTCCACACGCTTTAGAGTTTTAAGTTTTCTCCCCCTCCCTCCCTGCCTCCCTCCCCAAGATGGTGTGTAATCTGATATAGGCCGTACATATACATTAAACATATTTTCACATTAGTCCTGTTGTAAGGAAGAATTAGAACCAATAGGCAGAACCACAAGAAAGAGAAAACAAAACAAACGAAAGAAAAAAATAGCAAATAGTCTGCTTCGATCTGCATTCAAACTCCATAGTTCTTTCTTTGGATGTGGACAGCATTTTCCAGCATGAGGCCTTTGGAGGTGTCTTAGATCCTTGTACTGCTGAGAAGGGTTAAGTCTATCAACGCTGGTCATCACACAATGTGACTGTTACTGTGCACAACATTTTCCCGGTTCTGCTCACTTCACTCAGCATCAGACCATACAAGTTTTTCCAGGTTTTTCTGAAGTCAGCCTGTTCGTTTCTTGTCGCACAGTAGTATTCCATTACATTCATATACCACAGCTTGCTCAGCCATTCCCCATTGATGGGCATCCTCTCAATTTCCAATTCTTGGCCACCACAGAAAGAGCTGCTATGAATATTTTTGTACATGTGGGTCCTTTTTCCCATTTGTATGATCTCTTTAGGATACAGCCCTAGAAGTGCTATTGCTGGGTCAAAGAGTATGCCCATTTTTATAGCCCTTTGGGCATAGTTTGTCATTTTTTATGATATTGCTGTTACTGTGAAAATTGTTCTTCTGGAACAATGTGCATAGTAACAGCAATATTGTAAAGATAATCAGCTGTGAGAGACTTAGCCACTCTGATCAATACAATGATTCACCCCAACTCCAAAAGGCTCATGATGTTAACTGCTCTAGAGAGAGACTGATGGACTCAGAGGGCAGATGAAGCAGATCTTTTCCTTTCTTTATTTTTCTTGCATGAACATGGCTAGTACAGCTATATGTTTCATGATTTCATATGTATAACGGGTACTGTATTTCTTACCTTCTCAATGGTTGGGAAGGGTTGGAGGGAGGGAAAAGATTTAATAAAATAAAATGTAAAAAAAAAGTATAAAAATAGTTTTCCCTAAATTCTTTTCACTTCACTTGGCATCAGATTTCTCTGAAACCATCGCCATCATTTCTTATGGCACAATAAGATTCCATAACATTCACATATCGTCATTTGTTCAGACATTCCCCAATTGATGGACACTCCCTCAGTTTCCAGTTTTTTCCCCCATGACAAAAAGAGTTGCTATATTTTTGTACATATGTGTCCTTTTCCTTCCTTTGATCTATTTGGGAGGTGGGCATAGATCCATCTACTAGTGATATTGCTATGCACAGTTTAATAATTTGGGGGCATAATTCTAAGTTCCTTTCCAGAATGGATAGGACAATTCACAGCTCCACCAACTGCTCATTAATGTGCCTGTTTTCTATAGCCCCTCCAGCATTTGTCTTTTTTTTTGGGGGGGTCAACTTTGCTAATTTTATATGTGAGGTGGAATCTCAGAGTTGTTTTAATTTTCTTTTCTCTACTTATTAGTGATTTAGAACAGTTTTCATGTGGCTTTTGACACCTTAAGTTTCTTCTTTTGAAAATATCTATATCCATTGAACCATTTATCAAATGGAAGATGGCCCTTATTCTTATAAACTTGAATTGGTTCCCTGTAAATCTTAGAAATAAGACCTTCTTCCAAGAAACTTCCATGCTTCTCTTCCAATTTTTGCTCCATTGGTTTTGTTTGTACAAAAACATTTTAATTCCATGTAATCAAAACTGCCCTTTTACCAGTGTGGAACTCACTGGACAGTTGTGAGAATAGCACTTTAAAGAACCTCAAAAGAGCCAGCTCTGGGAGTTAGGATGTTCCTTTTCTCCCTAGCCAACTGCCAGCTAGCAGAGGGAATGGAGATCGCTAAGTTGCCATCTTAGTACTGTCCTTTTATGTTTTGTGTCTGGCAGACCAGGGTTGCTCATCTCATCTTCAGCAGGCCTGGTGGACACTGTTCCTTTCAGGCACAACCACAAAGGTGTGGCAGGTGGGAGCTCCCCAGGGTGATGCAGGAGGAAGAGCTTGGGCTGGGCGATCTGGGCACTCTTAGGACACAACCTCTGTGGGCCTCAGTTTCTACTGTGAAGTGAGCAGTTGGACGAGGGCACCTTGGAGACCTGCCTGGGTGCCAGGTTTTCTAGCTAAGGACCCTCCCAACTCTGGGACTGCCTCCTCTGTCTCAGCAGCCGGAGGACACACCGGGCAGGAAGGAAAGGTAACACTTAGGGCAATGTTGGAGGCCTTTATCCCAGTGAAAGGACAAAGGAGGCAAAAATTGGGAGGGGACTGAAAGCACGTGCATCCTTTCAGTGTGACAAGGATTAGTGAAAATGAGAAACTACCAGAGGGTGGTTCCTTGCCCTCCCCAATCCCTGGGGTCTCCCCTCCAGGAGCTGTTGTCCTGGGCTGGGGTCCCTACCTCCCAATTGAGAGAAATGATTATTTCTCTCTTGCATTAATAGCCAGTTGTTAAAATTGGGGAGGCCCCAGCTTCTTTCCCCGTCCAGTTTCTCAAGGCCAGGACTGCTGGAAGAGTGGACTTCTGGAAATTGCTCCGGCACCCAACTAGATCAGACCACAAATCCAAAATGCCATCCGGCTGCCCACTGCTTTCCAATCCAGCCCGTCTGGGTGGTGGGGGAGCCTCTGTTGAGGTGATCTTTAGTCCCCCCGGGGCCAGCCCCTCATCAGAACAGGTCCACCTGTCATCAATTGTTAATCCGTCAGAGTTGGCTGCTACCCTCTGCAACACCCACTTTCTGAGAGCACTTAAGTTGTGAGCCACCACCATGAGTGTCTTTGGTCCAAGAGAGAGAAGGCCAAACGATTGTTCCTCTATAATGCTAGCATTATAACAAAATGATTAATCACCCAGAAACAATGTCTCTCCAACTTCTTCAGCGTCACACAATCACTGCATTTGTCTCAAATGGTGTTTTCGGTCCCTTGCATCAGATTCTGGGGGTCAGGATGAGCTAGACAGGGGCCTCCCATCTGGATGCTCTCCCTCTCAGGCCCAGCTAGCATGGCACCTACTGGGCATGGGTGAGGACAGACCCGAGATTGGGGCACGTGCCCAAGGGCAGCTGGCAGAAAGAAGAGGCTGCCAACAAAGCCCAACAACAAGAGTTAGAAAGAGAAATTCCATTTAAACTTACTGTAGACATTATACAATATTTGGGAGTCTACCTCCCGAAACAAACCCAGGAACTCTATGAACACAATTACAAAACACTTTTCACACAAATAAAGTCAGATCTAAATAATTGGAAAAACATCAATTGCTCACGGGTAGGCCGAGCTAATATAATAAAAATGACAATCCTACCTAAGCTAATTTACTTATTCAGTGCCATACCAATCAAACTACTAAGAAATTATTTTATAGAGTTAGAAAAAATAATAACAAGTTCATTTGGAAAACAAAAGGTCCAGAATATCAAGGAACTAATGAAAAGAAATGCAGGGGAAGGTGGCCTAGCAATTCCAGATCTTAAATTGTATTATAAAGCAGCAATCATCAAAACTGCTTGGTACTGGCTAAGAAATAGAGTGGTGGATCAGTGAAAAAAGTTAATATGCAAGACACAGTAGTCAATGACTATAGTAATCTATTATTTGATAAACCCAAAGACCCCAGCTTCTGGGTAAGAACCCACTCTTTGAAAAAAAACTGGAAAACTGGAAAAGAGTATGGCAGAAACTAGGCATAGACCCAAATCTCACACCATATACCAAAATAAAGTCAAAATGGGTTCAGGACTTAGATATAAAGGCTGATACCATAAGTAAACTGGGAGAACAAGGAATAGTTTACCTATCAGATCTATGGAGAACAGAAGAATTCATGACCAAACAGGAGACAGAACATTATGAAAAGCAAAATGGATAATTTTGATTACATTAAATTGAAAAGTTTTTGCACAAACAAAGCCAATGCAACTAAGATTAGAAGGAAGGTAGAAAACTGGGAAAGAATTTTTACAACCAGTCTCTCTGATAAGGGCCTCATTTCTAAGATATATGGAGAATTAAATCAAATTTATAAGAATACAAGCCATTCCCCAATTGAGAAATGGTCAAAGGATATGAGCAGGCAGTTCTCAGAAGAAGAGATTAAAGCCCTCTATGGTCATATGAAAAAATGCTCTAACTCACTATTGATTAGAGAAATGCAAATCAAAACAACTCTGAGGTACCACATCACACCTATCAGATTGGCCAACATGACAAAACAGGAAAATGATAAATGTTGGAGAAGATGTGGGAAAATTGGAACACTAATGCATTGTTGGTGGAGTTGTGAAATGATCCAACCATTTTGGAGAGCAATTTGGAACTATGTCCAGAGGGCTATAAAAATGTGCATACCCTTTGATCCAGCAATAGCACTTCTAGGGCTGTATCCCAAAGAGATCATGCAAATAGGGATAGGACCCACATGTACAAAAATATTCATAGCAGCTCTTTTTGTGGTGGCAAAGAATTGGAAATGGAGAGGATGCCCATCCATTGGGGAATGGCCGAGCAAGTTGTGGTGTATGCATGTAATGGAATATTATTGTGCTACAAGAAATGAACAGGCTGACTTCACAAAAACCTGGAAAGTCTTGTACGGTCTGATGCTGAGTAAAAGTGAGCAGAACCAGGAAAATGTTGTACACGGTAACAGCCATGTTGTGCGATGACTAATACTGATAAACTTAACCCTTCTCAGCAATACAAGGATCTAAGACATCTCCAGAGGTCTCATGATGGAAAATGCTATCCACATCCAAAGAAAGAACTAGGAAAGTTGAATTGCTATTTTTTTTCTCTTCTGTTGAATTTTGTTTCCTCTTTCTGATGGTTCCTCCTATTGGTTTTAATTTTTACTTACAATATCACTAATATGAAAATATGTTTAATAGGAATGTAAATGTATAGCCTATATCAGATTGTGCGTTGTCTTGGGGAAGGTGGTGGGGAGGAAGGGGGAAGAAAATTTTAAACTCAAAAGCATATTGAAGTGATTATTGATAAACCAAAATAAATTAATAAAAAAAACAAAAAGAAAATACAATTAAAAAAAAAAAAGAAGAGGCTGATGATACTGGGCAAAGAAAATCTCTGAGTTTTGTGTGACACCACCCAGAGAAAGAAGGGCCTGAGTGGGAGGCCTGCCCTGGACCCTGACTTGGCATCTCCTTCATGGAGCCCGGAACCTTGGTCCCAGACAGACAGTCCTGACCAGCCTGGGCAGTTTTCAGGGGAGGAATGAAGGTGCTTCCCAGAGGTCGTAGGCCTACGAGGGATCTTTCCCTCATTCCCAGGTCCTCAACCCAGAAGCCACACAGCTCGGATGGACAATCACCTTTTTATTCTGCTTTTCACAGATGGGTGGAGGGAGGTGTGAGGGTGGGACCACCTCCAGCCCCCTGGATGCTGCTGCCCTCCACAGCATCCCTTACAGCCCAGCCTAGGCCAGCAGCTCTCCGAGGGCGGCTGAGGTCAGAGCCATGTGGATGAGATGAGGCCCGGGAGCAAACAGGAAAGGAGGGGCTCCTGGGAAGACAAAGAGAAGGTGGCTCTGGGGGGGTCTGGAGCCGGCAGTCAGAAGTGTCTCCCCGCCGGGCCCGCCACTCACCAGCAGTGATCAGCAACTTGTTACTGATGCCCGTCCAGAGGTAGGGGTTCTGGGAGTTGTACGCCATGCACAGATACTGGCCCAGCACATATCTGTGCACATATGGGTAGTAGAATTGACCTTCGTGTGCCGAGCTGTTCAGGGACTCAATAAACGGATTTTCGGCTTCGATGGAGCCATGATACAAATAGTACTTGTCCAAGGCTAAGGTGGAGTTACAGTGGAAGGTCAAGCTCTGGCCAAAGAAGGTTGAGGTGGAGGGAGAGACCCAAAGGAAGGGGCTCTCTAAGACATCTGCAGGAGAGACTCAGAGGTCAGGGGGTGGGGGGCCAGCTGAGGGGCGCAGGCCCCTTCTCCCTGGGGCCTGGAGAGAGGGTTGTGACACCTGGCCCTTCCCCTGTCTTGGGGCTAAGCTGGGTGGAGGAAGGCGTGGGGTGATGGTGGGACAGCCTGGAGGTGCAGGCCTCGATGCTGGGATGTCGGGCAGCACCCCTGGACAAAGCAGAAAAGGCCCAGGCACACCTTCCAAAGCCAAGTCAGGGGAGCCGAGACCCAAGGAGAGAAGGGACTCATAATGGTCCCAGTTTACAGAGAGGGGAACTGAGGCACAGAAAGGGGAAAGGGGTGTGTTGGAAGCACAGGGTCAGCAAGTCTGGGGGGGAGGACGCCATGTGAAGTGCAGCTTCCCTGGGACTGGCTTTTAAGAGGTTCCTCCTTCCAAGAGGCCCAGCCCAAGTCTATTGCTCTGGGCCCGGCCCGTCCCTTCCTGGGCTGATGGGGGGTGGCAGCAGATGGGAGAGCCCCGTTTCTGCCCGAGGACCTTCCAGGAAGGGGAAGCCATCCCCTTGGAGGCAGACAGCTCCCATCTCCCCAGCGTCTTCTTTTCCAATGCAGGCTCGGCACCTGTGGGTCCTTCCACCCAGCCTCAAGCACTCCGCTGTCCTCTGGCCTCTCTGCAGACCTGGATGGGCCCTGACCAGGGCAGAGGGCAGGCGTTTTCTCGTTCTGGATGCTACACTTCTCTGAAGAAACTCAGACGGGTGACTCTCGAGGGGACTGAGGAGGGCCCTCCAGCGCAGTGACTGGGCAGAAGCCCCCCAAGCCCCAGGGGGGCCTCGGGAACCCCAGGGAGCAGGGATGTGGCCTGGCCCCCTGCCCAGGACCCTGCTCACGCTCACCTCTTATGATCAGTGGCAGCTCATTACTGTTCTTGGAATAGAACCCGTTGAAGTAATAGACACAGGTGTAGATCCCCGTGTGCTGGGCGGCGACGTTGTCCATGAAGAACCAGCCTACCCTTCCTTCCCAAATGGCATCCTCTCGGAACACCACCCTAGGACTCATTCCTGGACGATCCACTCGGAGTAGGAGGCACTGCAATGAGCCGTAGGCCCCCACACACTCGTACTTCACCAAGTCCCCGAGCTTTACCGGAAACGTGGGCTCCAAGAAAATCCTGGGGGGTGGGAGCGCCTCTGCAAAGGGACCCAGCCACAGTCTGGCGGAGGCTGCCCTCTGGAGCGCCCCCACTGCCCGAGCAGCCCACCTCCTCCCCGAGCCCTCCAGGGATGGGGGGAGGGAGACTTACGTAGACCTAGGATGCCCTCCCAGACCTGGCACAGCTCTGTGAGAGAGAACCCTGCCCACCACAGAGCTTGCAGTGAGCGGCTGCCTGGACCCACTCCCAGCCCCCCCTCCCGCCTGGCCCCTCCCCCAACCTCTCTTCTCTGGCCCCCCCCCCCGCCCCTCCTACTCCCCCAGCCCCGGCCCCTCCGCCCTCCCCAAGCGGGGTGTGAGGAGCGGGGGGGGGGTCAGTCACCATGGCAGAGCAGGAAGAACAGGCTGATGCCCATGGTCCTGAGCTGGGTCCCAGGGTAGGCGGGAAAGTGTTGACGCCCAGGAAGATCCCGCGAGGCGGGGCCGAAGTCGCTCGCCTATTGGCCCATCCTTCCCCACGTGACCAGATGGTTCCAGCTGGGCTCTGTGTCTGGCTCCCAAAAGGGCCCAAGTTCTGGGGAAGCAGGAATTAATTCCCTCGTGCACATGCACGTGACCGCAGACCCCGACCTACCCGCCCGGTCCAGAGACACCGCACTGTGCCGCTGGGGGTCCTGCCAATGGCCTCTTCCCTCTGGCCGGCCTGCCCCCAACATCCATCTCTCCTTGGGCCGGCCCAGCCCCAATGTCCGTCTCCCCTCCTGCCCCAGCCGCGGGGTGCATCTCAGCAGCCAACGGGACCTCCCATCATGGGAGAAGCTGGGGGGCCGTGGCTCTTGTGGGGGCTTCTCTCAATGGAGGAGAGAGCCTATGTGTGTGTGTCCCCCTCCCCCCTCAATTTGTTTTCTTGTGAAACCCTAAGATTCTGGGGAAGAAGGGCCAGGTTTGCTTCATGGACAGAAAGGCAAGGGGCCAGAGGTCTGTGTCCCAGACGCCAGAGAATCTGCAGGCTTGACTGAGTCTACCCTCCCAGAGCTATTGCTGCCTGCCTCAGTTTCCCCATCTGTAAAATGAGGATCATGCCAGCACCTACCTCACAGGGTCGTTGTGAGGATCTGATAGGACCCCTTCCTGCCTTCCTTTTCCACGAGCCTTCTCTTCTTCGAGCTCCACATCTCCATCCCTTCAGTTAATCAGAGGTGGAGGGCCAGCAGGCACATTCAAGTCTACCCCACTCATCTTCTCGGGTCACGCCAGGAGTGAGAGTTTTGAAGTCAGGTCCTGCTGATTCCAAGGACACTGCCCTCTCCTCTGCTGTGATCTCTGCACCTGAGCCCTAGGAACGTCCATAAGCCCCAAGCGGCTGAAGCTGGTGCCCCCCTCCCTCCCCTGCCCTGGCAAGCCTTCTGTTCTTGTCTGTCCTTGTGCAGTTGGGGAGGTTTGATTTCCTCCGAGGGGACAAGATGAACGTTTCTGTTGTCAGAGAGCGCTGTGATGGGCCACAGCTGCATGCCAACCCGCTTTTCTCAGTATAGCCAATTGTAACATCCCCCTCCCTCCCTGTGTGACAAGAGAGGGCCCCCCTTTCTCTGGGGTCTCTGACCAGCTTTGTTAACGGTTCTTTGCTTGCAGAAGACCTCAGTTTCTCTTTTGTCCATCTCTTCACTGGGGCCCAGCCTGCCTGTACCTGCTGCTCCAGGCACGGTAGCTGCAATCTGTCCTCTGCCTGTCATAGGACACTGCTGACTTACTCTGTCTTCCCACCCTCTGAGACTCCATAATTCTTCTACAAACTGCTTCACCTGGATCCCTGTAAACATTTGGGAATAAATCATAACAGAGCAGATTAGTGCATATGTAGGGAGCCAGGGCGACTTCACCCACATTGTGTCCTTTTTGGACACTTATGTTACAGCCAGAGCTGACTTGGACTTCAGCAAAGCATCCCATGCTATTCCTATGCACAAGACTGAGAAATGGGACCAGAGGATGTTACGTTTAGATGGATTCAGAACTGATTGGAGCATTAGACTCCAAAGGGTCTTCAATAAGCTGGTACCAATTTGGCAGACGGTCTCCACTGGGATGCCACAGGGATCTGTGCTAGGCCCTGGGTGGTTCAACCTTTTTATCAGTGAGTTGGAGAAACACCTTCTTATCAAACGTGCAGATGATACCAAGTCACGAGGAATGGACATAGTAGCCAGAGGAAAACTTGACAGGCCAGAGCATAGGGCCAGGATCTCCCCTTCTCCTTGGCTTCACAGGCCCAGGACAGAGAAGGGAAAGAGGAGGTCGGGGGGCTTTCACGTACTTGAGATTCATTTGAGTCAGCTGGAGAAAGGGGCAGCCAGTGCTGGTCCCACTGCCCCCTGCCCTGTGCAGACCCCACCTGGAAGACTACTCTGCTCATTTCTGGGCTCTCAGGCTGAAGAATGGAGGAGGGCAGCCCAAATGGGGAAGGGCTCTAAGCCCCTGCCCCAGGAGGGTGGGCTGCCTCGGGTGGAGCAGCCTGAGGAGCCATCCTCAGTAAGCAGATGGCTACCTGGGAGCTGTCCTCCTGGGAAGAAGGGAGAGTCAGAGCTGTCCCATAAAGGCGCCCCATCTTGGTGGGAGGTTTCCTTGTCCCCCATCCTGGACACGAAGACCACACAGCATGATCAGAAGCACTTTATTTAGCCTGTTTTGGGGAGTCGGGTTGGGGGAGGGAGTCCCGTTGGTCCGGCTGCTCCATTCATGTACTAGTCCTGGCCTGGGCAGGCCTACACCCACCAGCTCTGCAAGGGAATCAGGGCCAGGACCACCGAGGCGAGAGGGATTCCAGGAGAGTACCTGGGAGTGAGGTTATCTGTTGGAACAAAGAGAGGGGGTGTGGGGGGGCACTAGAGCCTCCGCCCTGCCCCCACACACTGGCTTACTCTGGACGATGGACACAGGGTCGCTGGGGTGGGACCACAGGTACGGATTTCCCTCATCATGGCTGTAGCACGTGTACACTCCGAAATGCCTCGGGTTTATGTTCTCTATCTGGTGCTCCAAGTCCTTTTCTCTTTGCTCCACCACGAAGTTTTCTGTGTCGGGATCCCCCTTGATCAGCACCCATACCTCGAACTGGTCCTTGGTGGGCTTGCAGTAAACAACCACTGAGCCACCTTCCTTCACTTCAGTGGGGGTGATGTTCATGGAGGGCTTGCTGTAAACACCTGAGAAGCGGCAGCCTGTTCAACACCAACCCATCTCCGGCCTCTGTCTCCTCCTTTGTAAAAGGAAGCTCTTCTAGCTTCTCTGGGGGGAGGGGGGCAGCCTTAGGGGACTTGGGAGGGGGAGGGCTCAGGGGATGTCTTCTCTCCTGGCTGGGCAGGACCAGGCGCTAAGGCCACTAGCAGGCCTTGTGGCTCAGTGGGCTGTGGGCTCCCCAGCGGATTCCTTTTAGGAGATGCTAGACACCAAAGATGACTACTGAGGATCCTCCGGGCTCTAGAACGATGCCTGCCCACCCCCGCCTGCTCTGTGTGTGTGTGTGTGTGTGTGTGTGTGTGTGTGTATGTGTGTGTGTGCGCGCGCACAGCGGGGTGCTGAGATCTCCACTTATTTAAACCCACAAATACCTCGGAGCAGAGAAGGTTGTGGGGGAGAATCCAGAGGCGCTTTTGAATGGCAGGGCCGGAGGGAGGGGGGAGGGAGGCTGATGGATGGGAAGACGGGCAGAGAGAGGGAAGGTGAGGGTTAGGCTGGCCAGCCGTGGTCCTGGGGCCCCTCCTGGCTGAAGGGCACCCCTCTCACCTGAAATGATTAAGTCCTTTAAAAAGCCACGCTTAGACCACGAGCCCTCGAAACTATAGAGGCAGCGGTCTCCTGCGCCGTGCTCAAACCTTAGGGAGGGATGGTACAAGTGACACTCGTGCCCCGGGTAGATGGCCGGAACCTTTTCTCCAACTTGGACTTCGCCTTCAGTGTCAACCGTTTCCAGGCGGAAGTAGTCGGCCCTTAAGGGTGTGTAGCAGCTGATGGTGATGGAGCTGCCCAGGGGGGCGGATGTTTCCTGGTTTCATCCTAATTTCGGGAGCCGGGCTCCAGAAATCTGCAAGGGTGAGTGGATGGGAGCCCCGAGGTCCGGGAGGTGGCGGCCCTTGCAGCCCGTCCCGGGCGCTGCTCGCTCCCATCCCCCACTAGGGCCCCCCTCCATCCTTCCTTCCAGTCTCTCCCCTCCCCCTTCCCATCCTCCCATCCTCTCTCCCGGGCCCTCCCCCTCCCCCTCCTTCCTCCCATCGTCCCATCCCCCCTCCCGGGCCCTCCCAGGCCCCCCCTCCCCAGACCAGGCACTGCGTTTTTGGGACAGAGTTCAGCACCAGGTACGCGGCTGGCGCCTAATGCATGCACGCTGGGAGAGCACTCATAGAAAGCCTGGATCCTGGGGCTCAGGCACAGCCCTGCGAGGGAGGCAGCAGACCCCATGAGGCCTGGCTCCCCCAGTAGTCCTCCGACCCCCCCCCCCCAGCCCTGCCCCAGGCCCTCACCGAGCCAGAGCAGCAGCAGGGGCTTGGGCTCCATGCTTTCTCCACGCGGTTCCGGGCGCTGCGGGTGGGCAGAGCAGGAGATGCTCTGCCATTGGCCCAGCCCTGCCCAATGGGGAGGGCAGAGCCAGGCTTCAGGGGTCGAGGAGGCAAGCCGGGACCTTCAGGGTGCCCAGAAGGGCCAGCCCTCCGCCTAGCTCTCAGAGCTGTTTCCTCCCTCTATGAAAGGAGCTGATTGCTGGAGAGTGAGAGCTGACTTTGTGCTGTGTGCCAGGCGCTGTGCTAAACCCACACTATCTCGTGTGACCCTCACACCAACCTGAAGAGGTAGTTATTGTTCCCATTTTACAGATGAGGAATCCCAGGCAGGCAGAGGTGAAGTGACTGCACCAGAGTCACACAGCTAGAACGTGTCTAAGGCTGGATTGGAACTCATGTCTTCAGACCTGGGGCTCTATTAGCTGGCCACGTATGGGCCCCACATGGTCAATGGGAGAGGGCAAGTGTGAGTCATTCTGGGCTTGGCCAGTCTCTGGATGGAAACATGGAGGGGTGGGCAGAGGCCAGACTTGGCCTCAGGAGGACTGTGTTCAGGCTGCATTCATATCCCGCCTTCCATGATGCCTACAACCAAGTCATTTCCCCTTGTGACCCCCTCCCCAAACCATCTTGAGCCCCCACCACCTGAGAAAGGCCTAACACCTGGACATTTCGGCCCACGCTGGCCTTAGTGCTTTTCGTGCTCTGGCACGACGGACCTGCTTTACTTTGCTCTCTGGGTGAACCCCAAATGCCCTGTCCTGGGTCAGCAGCCGCAAGGCCGGATGAAGCTGACCAGGAGTATTCTTCTGTGACTGTCCAGGGCAGCGCGCCTCGAGCCGGACACTATCTTGAAATGGGACTTTTGTGTTTTCTTATGTTGTATCATGTCATGTTACTGACAGAAGAAACACAGACATCCTGAATCTATTATTTCCATTGACACCCGGACATTCTCTTATCTTACTGTATTGACAGTCTGTCCAACTAAGAAATTCCTTTCCCGTATTATGGCTAACACATATGCAGACTACAATTTTGGCTGACACAGGCATCCTGAGCCAGGAAGAGAGGGAGGGCTGAGAGGGAATCGCTCTGAGGATTTAAGGTCCCCTTTGTCTGTCCATCCTTGGGCTCATTTCCACCATGAGCTCTCATGCATAGCTCTGTATGTGTGTTCCACCAGCTTTGAGAGAAATAAACACACTTATGCAGCCTAATTTCATTTGTCCTTCTTAGAATAACAGTAATGGTTGACACCCTGCTTTTTCTCTATTTGGAAAATGAGGCTAGTAGTCCTAAAGGAACCCGGGGCAGAAAATGTTGTGTTAGCGCCCAAGCAGTGGGCCTTATCATGACGGCCCCCTCCCTCCTTGCTCAGTCATAGGGAAGGTTCTGGGCATCACTCCTGCTGAGGCCTCAAGTGTAAGGGGATAGAGAGAGCCCCTGGGAAGACGCTTCAATTGCATGTCAGCCAGTTTGGGGAAAGACAGTTTTTCAGCCTCTTCCTAGGGCTCCACAGCTGGGGAAGCTTCCCAAGAGCCCCGATGGGGCTGGGGGAGGGGGGCTGCGGGACAAAAACTTGGAGACAGCTGACATGAGGCTGTGTGATTGGAATGGAAGAGAAATACCCATGGAGTGTCCCTTTCCCCTCCTCCACACCCCAGCGTGCTATGTGGGCACCTTTCAAGTGGATTCTTGGGAGGTTTCCCTCCCCCGACACCCTTTGTATGTGGTCTTCAGTGTTGCCCAGGGCTGCCCCTCAATTCTGTAGGATCCCAGCGGCTCTTGGTGGTGGCTGGTCTCCAGGATCATCCCTCTGAGGTCTCCGGGATCAACCTGGGGCTATCACAGGGTCTCCGGGAGAAGGGCCAGCAGGGTGGAGGCAGGCTTTGCAGTGCCTCAGTGTCCTCCCCTGTCTCTGTCTGCATCGTGTTTGCTCGTCATGGCTGGCATGCTGTCTCCCCTGATGGCAGGGCAGGGGAGTGGAGGGTGGGGAGGCTTGAGGCAGGGAGACCCACCAGCAGCTCATGGCTCACTCCAGGAGGGAGGTGCTGAGGGCCGGTACCAAGGTGGGGCAGTGTCAGCTACAAAAGATGGATGTGGGGCTTGAGTGTCAGTGACAGCCACGTGACAGCCAGCTCGGGTGGCAGAGGATGGTGGTGGCCTCTCTGGTGACCAAGTGGGCCACCAGGCAGCGTGGAAGGAAGGAGGTTTCTTTTGCCTTCAAAGCAAGGGTATGCAACAAGGGTCTAGGGGCACCGAGCTTTTCTGGGAAGGAGCTGGCCCCCTCGTTTTGTCTGGTCAGTCACTGAGGTATATAGCTTCTCGAAGTCTCAGATGAGATCAGGAGGGGAAATCAGAAGAGGACTTTAGGGGCAGCTAGGTGGCACAGTGGACAGAGCACGGGCCCTGAAGTCAGGAAGACCTGAGTTCAAATCCGGCCTCTGACCAAACACTTGACACTTACTGTGTGACCCTGGGCAAGTCACTTAACCCCAATTGCCTAACTAAATTTAAAAAAGAAAAAAGAAAGGACAGAGCCAGGGGGTGGGGGTTGTGCAAGTATTAGGACCTGAATGAAGACCCTCTGAGGAGTGGTCAGAAGGCTGGAAGGAGAACCAGGAGGGCGAATCTTGGAGAAGCCAAGGCTGCAGAGATCCAGAGGGAGAAGGATCAAATAAAGGCCATAAGTGATGGTTAGTAACTTTGGAGAGAGCAGCTCTGATAAGGCTGGAAGCCGGCTTGGAAGGGGCACCAAGGCCTTTTCTAGGAGTCTAGCTGTGACAGGGAGGGGAGAGATGGCCATGGATGGCTGGACCAGGGGAGGGCTTTTCACGGGTGGGGGAAATAGGCTGCAGGGACCCAAGAGGGGAAAGATTAGTGAGGAGGTGCATCTGCTTGGCATCAGCCCTGGCAAGGATGAGAGCCACCTCAGGGGGTGAGGACGGGGCGAGGCAAGACTGGAGAGAAGGGAGCTTGGTGCAGAACATGGTCTCCGGTCTCTTTCAGCCCCAGGCCCTTGCTCCCTTATCTGAATTACCCAAGACTGTGAAAGGACCCCACCCCTCACCCCCAGGTCATGGTATTATGGACTTTGAACATCTCTCCAAATTTTCCACTTAATGATCGGCCAGCTCTTCCTTGGTCATACCCTCGCCATCTGAGGTATTCTGAAACCCTACAGGCCATCGTGTCCACCTCATAGCCCATTCCCCTCGACTCCCCTCACCCAGCGTCCCAGTGAAGCCACCTGCTCCATCCACAGCAAACTCAATCTTCTCCTGTCCTTCACCTCCCGTCTTCTGGCTCTCACCACAACCCCGGCTTCCCATACCTCGGCCTGCCCTTTCCAGGACTCACCTGCACTCACTCCCTACCTCACCCCTGGTCCCCCTCACTGGCTGAGATGGAGGGGGCTGGACTGCCCTTGCTCCCCACAGCCACTTCCAGGCCCTCTCCCCTTTGAGGTTCACACAGTCCACGTCACAATTCGGTTCCGTGGTCTCCTGACTGCCAGGACACCCCCTACCTGCTTCTGCTTCTTTTCTCCACCAGCTCGGTAGCTGTCTGCTGCTCCCTCAGACAGCCTAACCTCCCCTGCTCCTCAGGGGTAAGGACAGGGAACAGAAGGAGTTTAGTGTGGAGCAGACATCCAGAGGAGACGCTGCTGCTTCTCCCCCTTCCCTCTCTTCAGTCCAGCTTCAGCCCTCATGGTAGAGAGAGAACAGAAAGTGCCCCTTCAGAGTGACCAGTGATCGCTCAGTGGCCTTTTCTCCCTGCTCCTTCTCCTCGGCCTCTCTGCAGCACTGGCCACTGCTGGCCACACTCTCTTCTCTCCAGGTGTTTGGCACATGCTTTGCTCCTCTGGTTCTCCTCCTTCCTCTCTGACCGCTCCTTCTCCACACCCTCAGGCTCTGTCCCCGGCCTCTTCTCTTCTCCCTCTGTCCTACCTCACTTGGGGATCTCCTTAGCTCCCACGATTCCATTCTGGGCTGACGATTCTCAAATCTACCTTTCCTGCCCCAATGCCTCTGAGTCTCCTATCTCAAATCTGATTGCCTTTCAGACATCCTGAACCAGATGTCCAGTAGACATCTGAAATTAATATGTCCAAAACTAAATTTATGGGGCAGCTAGGTGGCACAGCGGATAGAGCACTAACCCTGGAGTCAGGAGGCCCTGAGTTCAAATCTGGCCTCAAACACTTACTAGCTCTGTGACCCTGACTGCCTCAGAACCCCCTACCCCAAAACAGTAGTAAATTCATTATCTTTCCCCCTCTCCTCCCTTCCCTGTACCGTCAAGACAACCTAGTCACCATCCTGGACTGCCCCATCTCCCTCCCTCTCCCTCCTCCTCCCAACCCCGATGTGGTACCAAGGCCTCTTGACTTCACCTTTGTAGCCCCTTCCTCTCCCTGGACACTGCCCCCTCCCACCCGGAATAGTGCCATAGCTGCTGGGGGGCTGCCCCACTCCAGGCCCACCCCCTTCGGCACTTAATCCTTGCTCCAGGGACCCTGGCCTCCTCATCCTGCCCGGAGTAGATCCTCCCTTCTCTCTGGGAAGCTTTCCCCCTTCCTCTTGGCTTCTCTTCAGCTCCAGCTTGGACCCCAGATTCTACAGGAAGCCTTTCCCATTCCTTCTTCCTCCGCTTTGATGACTATTCCCGACTTACCTCGTGCACAACTTGTGCAGGTATCGTTTGCTTGCTGTTTCCCCGTTAGACTGGGAGCTTCTTGAGGCCAGGGACTGTACTTTGCCTCTTTTTGTATCTCCAGAACGTAGCACGGTGCAGGCCCATAGTAGGTGCTAAAAATGTTTCTTGACTGAATGATACAAGTGGGATGGGTACAAATGGGTGGATAATGGGGGGCCTGCCAGAGCCTGATGGGTGATGGGACTCCAAAGAACAGTGTCCAGCCAGAATGGCTCCCTAAGGGGCCAAGACGGGGAGGAGAGCCAAGTGTCACAGCCTGGGAAAGAACTAAGGGGTGCGGTCACGGAGGTCAGGGTGCAGATACACGGCGCTGGGGGACTGTGACCAGTAAAAGAAATTCCAGGCTGCATGGATGTGCAGGTGCAGCTTTTGGGGGTGGGATGGGATGACCATCTCTGCAGGTAGAGGTGAGGTCATAAGAAGGAGGGAGAGCCAAGCGAGACACTGAACCGCCAGAGGGTGGATGGGCGGGGAGTGACATGCAGGTTTGTCGAACCAGGCCACCTGGATTCTGGGTGGGTGGGAGGTATGGATTTCACGGCCCTCCCAGGAGAGCTCACTGACACATCAGTGTAAGAGGCAGAGCCCCAAAGGGCCAAAGGGGAGGGAGTCTTGGGGCAGCTAGATGATGCAGTAGATAGAGCTCCTGCCTTGGAGTCAAGAGGACCTGAATTCAATCTGGCCTCAGACACTTGACATTAGCTGTGCGACCCTGGGCAAGTCACTTAACCCTGACTGCTTCACCAAAAAGCAAAAAAAAAAAAAAAAGAGGAGGGAGTCTTATTCCAGCTCCCCCAGCCTGATCAGTGAGTTGGGGGAAAGGGTGGCCAGGGTGGCCATGTCATCAGGAGGGAGCCAGGGCTTGGGGAGAACCCAAAGATGGAAAGATAAAGGAAAAGGCTGAAGGAGAAAGCAGCTTTGTTACACAGGGAGCAGATTTGTAGGGGCACATTTTGGGGGGGGGTGGCATGGGGATGGGAGGCTTGGGCAATGGCAGCCCAGGCTTAGAATGGCTGGAATGAAAAGAATAGGAAGGGAAGAGGATGTGCTGACCAGAGAGGCCCAAGGCCACGTTGTAGGTGGCTGGAGAGCCAGCATTAGCGCTGTTCCTGGCCTGCCCCCAAGCAGGGGAGAGGCTGAGTCCGGAGACACACACACACACACACACACACACACACACACACCCCCATAACACAGGCATATATAGAAATACACACAGAGACATACAGACACACATATATACACATACACACATCCACGTATGTGGGGTCACAGGGTCTGAGAGCAGAGTGGGAGGGACGTCCCCAGGCATCAGGTCCGAAGCCCAGAGAGATCTGCTCCTTCAGGTGCCCAGGCTGCTGTAGGACAGTCTGGATGGTTGTGTGTGCATGTATCTGTGTGCATGTGTGTATGTATGTCTGTATATATGTCCGTGTCTCTAAATATGTATGTGTGCGCCTACGTCGCCCTCCTCTCTTCCCCTCCTCCCTCCCAGGGAAGCCCCTGCTCCCAGCACATCCCCAGGACAGAGAGGCAACACTCAACTTTGACCTGGTGGTTTATTGTGTGTGCTTGCACTGGAGGCTAGGACGACGGGGGCAGGCGAGGGATCTCGGGCCTCCTTCTCTGGATCCCTTTCAGCTGATCCACGCCTAGGACAGCAGAGTGCCCAGGGCCAGCGGGACCACAAGGAGGAGGCTGCCCGTGACGTGATCCTGGGATTGGAGGACTGTGGGACAGGGGCCATTACTGACTAGATCCCTTCTTCCTCAGAAGCCCTAGATCCTCCCCCCCCTTCCCGCCCCCGCAGCCTGTCTTCTCCAAACTCTTCCCGGGGACTGCCCCTTCCTCTCTTGGCCCTACGCTACCCTCCGCTCAGGCCCAGACCCCTAGACAAGCAGCCAGGCACGGTGCCAGCCTGTGTCGGGGGGAATGCCGGACTCCTTGCCTCTGCCTAGGAGCTCGATCTCTCGGGGCTTCGGACCCAGTGCCCAGGACGTCCCTCCCACTCTGCTCTCTGACTCTGAGAGCCCAGAGCCCCCCCCTCGGGGAAGAGAGGAGGGGGCAGGCCGCACCTGTGAGCTCCACGGGGTCGCTGGGCACGGACCACACCAGGGGCTCTTTGCTGGTGTAGCCCATGCAGAAGAAGGTGCCCGTGTACTTGCTGTCGATCCTGGAGAACCGGAGCTCCACGGCCGAGTTCTGGGCCGGCTGGTGCGTGGGCGGGACCAGCCCTCGGTCCTGGTACACGATCAGCCGGTCCAACTTGTGTTCCGACCGGCACTTAAATGACACGGACTGGCCCGAGGCCAGCTGGGTGTTGGTGCTGGCCGAGAGCAAGGGTTTGGGGAGCACGCCTGTGGGAGAAGGGGGCGTCAGAGGGAGGCCGGCGCATGGGGCAGCTGGGGGTCCATCCGGAGGAGGGGGGAGGAGGAGGACGGAGGCAGCAGGCCAGCACAGCGCCCCCCCCCTCCCCGGGGCCCTTACCCGACACGGCCAGGTTCACGCTCTCGCTGGACGGGGACATGCCGGCCCCGGCCTGGTAGCGGCAGCTGTAGGCGCCGGTCAGGGCTTGCTCCATCTTGGCGAAGGAGAAACGCGCCTCGTTCCAGACGGGCGGCTGGGTGCTCTCGGAGGCCTCGGCGCTCTCTTTCTTCAGGAAGAACAGCTTCGCCTCGGGGGGCCCCCGGCACCGTACAGACACCGGGAGGCCCACCGGGATCACCGAGCCGTTGTCGAAAATGATCTGGGGCTTGGGGAGCGTGTCTGGAAGGCAAGGGGAGCCCGCGGTTCCGGTGGACCCCGCCTCCCTGGCCCCGAGCCCGCCCCCCCACCCCAATCTGGGAGGGGCTGCCTAGCGGGCATGGGGTGGGGGAGCCCCAGTACTCACTGTTCGCTGCCTTGTTCTCCTGGCCCAGGGACAGCCCTGCCAAAGAGGTCCTGGTGAGAGGCCGCCCCCCCACTGTCCCCCAAACCCGGCTCCCCCGGGACGGACCAGCGCCCTATTTTACAGAGGTGAAGACTGGGTCTGGGAGAGACGAGGAGGGCCGTGGGCCTCAGTCTGCACACCCGCACCGCGGGGCAACGCGTCCCGGGGGGGCCCACGGCAGGGGCCAGACTCACCGAGGAAGAGCAGGGCGGCCAGCCAGGGACCCATGATGGCGAGCGGAGCCGGCGGGGAGCACGTGGGAGCCACAGCGGCCCGCGGGCAGAGGTGCGGAGCGGCGGCAGCCCTGCCATTGGCCCTGCCTTCCCCACGTGACCCCGCCGGGGCCACGCTGGGGGGAGGGGCGAGAGGAGGCGGGGAGGGCATGGCGTCTGGGTCCCGAGGCGGACGCGGATGGGCTCATGAGCTTTTCCTACAGGCGGGCTTAGAGAGAAGGGGGTCGGGGCGGAGCAGCCCCCCACTCATTCCGCATGGCCGAAGCACCTACTGTGTGCCCGGGGGCGCTAAGCTCCAGAGCGCCCCCAGACTGGCCCCGAGGGCCGCGGGCGACTTCCGGTGGGAAATTCCCCGGGGATGGGCTGCCCCCCCCCACCAGCAGAGCGCGGTCCGGGGTCACAGGCGGCTGGGCCAGGCTGCCCCCACCCCGGGACGCTGGAGGCTGAGAGGAGGGGCGAGGCGCCCGCCAGGGGGGGGCGGAAGACTCCCACAGCTAGCCTCAGACAGCGACTCCGCACCCCACGGGGTCCGTAGAACCGCAGACAAGAAGGGGGAGAAAGTCTGGCCCAGGGGTCACCGGGAGGGGGAGGGGGGCCCAGGCCCCCAACAGAGGCACGTCCATCACTGTGTATGGGGGGCCCAGACTGCGGCGATGTCGTCCTGCTGACGTCACCGAGAGGAGGGGGGAGGGGAAGGGGGACTCAGGCACCCTACAGCGTCACGTCCATCACTATGTGTATGGAGGCTCCCTACGGTTTAACGTCCACTTGTGGGGCGTCACACACTTGACAATATCAGACCCTGGTGATGGAGGACTCAGACACCCACAATTTCACGGGCAAGGCGCTAAGACATCCTGGTTATACCCAACACCCCACGTCGCCCCCTGGTGGCCATACCCCGCAGTGACTGGCATTAAACTTACCACCTCTCCCCCTCCCCCCGGGGGCTCAGGCACGTGCTCCTTCCTCACACAGCCGCTCAGGACTGTGGTCCCTGCCCCCATGCCCTGTTCCCTTGGGAAGCTCTTGAGCGGGGGGAGGACACAGGGCCTTCTGCGGGGGGAAGGCAAGGGGGTCCCTAGGGAGGCAGGAGTATAGCAGTAGTAGGGTCAGAAGAGTGGGGGGGCCCCTCTCACTGTGACTTCTGTGCCAGGGTGAGCAAGTCTGTGCCCCTGCCTGGGCTCTGAAGGTGGCCGGGCCTCCACCTGCCCCCCAGGATAGAGAGAGGAGGACAGGGGTAATGGGGCAGGGAGCTGAACCCCACTGCAGTACCCCCCAAGCTCAGGCAGGCAGTGCCCCTTGTCCCCCCAGAGGCAGCTGGTGGTCAGTGCACAAAGGGCCTGAGCCTGAGTTTTAATGTGGCTTTATAGGGATATTTCCTAGCTTCATGACCCTGGGCAAGGCAACTTCTGCTTAACTCAGTTTCCTCAACTGTACAATGGAGGTGACAGCAACACCAGGATGCTATGAGATCCCATTTTCAGGTGCCTAGCCCCACTAGCCTGGCACATAGTTGGCACTTAATGAAAGCTCATTGCTTCTTCCCTCCCCACCCTAGGCCAGAGGAGGGCTGGAGGTGGTCATTAAGAAAGGAAGGAGGGGCAGCTAGGTGGTGCAGTGGTTAGAGCACCAGCCCTGAAGTCAGGAGGACTGGAGTTCAAATCCGGCCTCAGACCAAACAGTTGACACTTACTAGCTATGTGACCCTGGGCAAGTCACTTAACCCTGTTGCCTAACCAAAAGAAAGGAAGGACCTGGTCATCCAGAGCCCTCCTTCCCTTCCAGGGATCCTTCCTAAACTGTCCATCTCTGCTTCCCCTAGGCCCATAGTTCCTGAGGGGAAGCCTGGGACATTCTGGTGCCAAGGCCTTGTGTGAGCTTACCCATACTGCCCAGAGAAAGCCCCAGAATGTGCCCTGGCCGGGGAGTCAGGTCCAGATGTCCATAGCAAGTGTGAGTGCTGACTCTGTCGGACCTCAGCGCTGCTGCTACCAAGGCCAGGGTGCCTGATGTGACCCTAGGCAACCCCTGCCCCTGGGAAGCCAGTGGGGCCGCAGGGACCAGCTCTGCCCTCCATTGGGTGCGGGTGGGAGATGGTCTCAGCTTGGAACGGGATGGGGCTGGTCTCTTACATTATTGGTGTCCAAGGAGAAGAGGCCGAATGGTCTCAGGGCTGGGTCTCCTCCTTCCTGAGGGTCTTCTTTCTCTCTCAGGACTGTAGTCCCCAATCCTCCCTCTTGGCCATGCCCAGCCCCCGGTAACCTCCGGGAGAAGGTCGTCTTCCACTGTGTTGTATGTGTGCTCTCTGTCCCAGAAGGGAGAAGACAGAGCTCTGGAGTGAAGGAGAGCCAGACCGCCTTCCTCATCCCAGCAGCCCCCCAGGTCACCAGGGATCTTACCAATGCTACAGACATGACAGCCAGTGCCCCTTGGAATGGTGGTTGGCTCTCCGAATCCAAGGTGGAGAAGCCCAGCCAGCCCCTAGTCTTCTGGCCCTGTGCTCCCAGAGCCCACAGGATCCGGAAGGCTGGGAATGAAAATGTGAAGACACCCGGGGAGGGCATTCTGGTCTGATCTTCATGGGCTGGGAGCTGGACGTTAGGATGGGCCACTGTGGAGGCCTTGGTGCTGAGGAATGGATCCATTTTTCTGTGCAGGGATGGCTGCCTGAGCGAGATGGTGCCCCAAGCTCCTGAGGGCCAGGGATTGTGAAGTGCTGGGCCTCAGCATCTGCCAGGATCATTGAAGGGTGAAGACACCCGCCTCAGTATCTGGAAGATCAGAGTTCAAATCTGCCTTAGACACTGCCTAGCTTTGGGATCCTGGGAAAGTCGTTTAAGCTCTGGATGTCTGATTCTTTGTGTGAATTAAAATTATTTAATTAATACATCTGTCTTGGACAGATTTGTACTGCATTTTTCTTTTTTTGGGGGGGGCTAGGCAATGGGGTTAAGTGACTTGCCCAGGGTAACACACCTAGTAAGTGTCAAATGTCTGAGGCTGTATTTGAACTCAGGTCCTCCTGACTCCAGGGTGAGTACTCTATCCACTGCACCACCCAACTGCCCCTGTACTGAATTTTAATTCTGTATCGGGGTGCCTTAATTTCCTCTTTTGTAAAATCAGAAGGTTGGACTTGATACCTTCCAGCCCTAAATCAATATGCTAGGAAGCAGGGGGCAGAGTGCTTGGCCTAGAGTCCAAAGACTTGAGTTCAAATCTAGCCTAAGATACCTAGAAGCTGTGTGATCTTGGGTAAGTTACTTAACCTCTGCCTGCCTCAGTTTCTTCAACTGTAAAACAAACAGTATCTGCCTCCCAGGGTTGCTGTGAGGATAGCATAATACTTGCAAAGCACTTTGCAAGCCTTAAAGTGCCATATAAATGCTAGCCCTTACTGCTGTTACTGCTATGATTATGCCACAGGAACGTGGAATGCCAGAGTTAATTACCAGGAGAGAGAGTCAGAGGGAAGGACGCTGACCTTCTGGGAAGGAGGCAGTGTGCCCCTGCAGTGCCTGAGGGGGTCTCCATCCTCCGCATGCCAGCCACGGCTGGCCACCAGCTTCCTCTTGTGCTAACACTCAACCCTGGTGTGGCTCCTTAGTCTGCTTGCCCCAGCCGTCCGGCCTGCCCATCTCGTGGTGGAAGGATCGTGGAGGTGCCCACTAACTGCTCATGGGACCACAACCTGCCACAGGAAGCCAGGGGCCTGGGTCTGCTGGGCCATGCAGACCCCTTCCAGCTCCCACAGGACTTAGAGGCAGGGGCAGATAGAGGGCAATGAAGTGTTTGGAGAATGTGCCATCCGAGAGGGTGGGTGCCTGTTTCAAGGACATCCCAGGGTGAACCCGGGGAAACATTCAGGGCCTTGGTGGGGGAGATGGGAGTGGTGGCCCTTAGCAACACAACCAGGATTCTGGGTGGGTGAGTCAGTGGGACCGCCAGGCTTTGGGGGAGAAGAAACCTGCAGGGTAGAGGTCTGTCTCTTCTGCCGTGGCCAAGGAAGCAGATGCCCTCCTGTCCCATTCTTTTTCCTTGGTTTAAAAACCTCCTCTTCCAGCCAGAGGCCCCCAGGTCCCCCCCCCCCAGCTTTGGGAACTGGCCTTCCTGTCTCACTGTCCCCCAAAGAGCTGTCACAGCATCATTACACCTTGCAAAGCTCTCAACGGGGAGTCCAGAAGATGTGGCTCCCAGGCCTGTACCAGACACTTACCTCAGTTCTCTTGTCTGAAAAAGTGACCGCACAGCCAAGGCTGTGGGAGATGCCTCTGGACCCTGGGTGGTGGGGAAAGCCGGCAACTGGAGTGGAGATGTCAGCAGTCAAGCGAATTCCCAGAGGGGAGCTAGTCCCCCTGCACGCTGCCTCTGTCAGTCCCAGGGGGCTCACTTCTGCACCTGGGACGCACTCGGTGCTTCCTAAATGCTTCTTGGCTGCTGGCTGACTGGGTTCCTCGGTCGGAGAAGGGGACAGCTGAAAGAAGCCAGAGGCCGGCAGGCAGGGTGGGGAGGTCCCTGTGAGGAGCAGGGCAAGGGGCTGCAGATGCATGCGTCTCCAGGGATGTGGTGGTTGGGGGCTTGCTCTGTGGGACCCTGGTGGGAGGGAGGGAAGCAGAGGATTCCGGGCAGCAGTTACAGGGGCTGCTTCCGGCTCCGTAGCATTCAGCTCAAAAGAGCCTGGCTTCGGGGCAGGGTCTTCTCAGGATTTCAAGGTGCTGACAGTGCGTCTGAGCTCCCCATCCCGGGAGATCTTTCAGGTGTCCACCTGTGTGGTGTGCTCTGAAGGGCATTTGTGTCCTCCCCTGGACAGAAGGGACCCCAGGAAAGCTGGGGTGCCCTCCAACCCCGGGGATCCTTTGGTTTCCATTTTGGCCCGGCCCCCATCTGGGGGAGGGGACAGGGCTGCTGACCCTGGCCACAGCCCCTGTGCTTTATTCTCTTCTTCCCCCGGCGCTGGTTGGCCTCTCCCTCCCTCAAGCCTCCGCACTTCCCTGCCAACCCCCCTGTCAGTCCATGGCTGATGGCATCATCTCTCTTTCCTCCTTTCATGCATTCATTCCGAAAACATGTGTCACACTTGTGCTTCGGGCAGCACACTCTGCTGAAGCCCAGGAGCATCAATATTGAGGGGACGTGGAGTTCTAAGGAATCATGGGACGCGCCTCCCCTCCCATGTCAAGAGTTGGAAAGGAACAAGCAGCGATCCTGATCTTCCCATTCTACAGAGGAGCAAACTGAGGCCCATAACAGCAAACAGAGGGTTAGGAGCCAGGGCTGTGGACCTGTGAATTCTGTTGCAGAGAGAGGTCCAGGGTAGGTTGGGGACTTGAGGGGCAGCAGCCCCAATCCTTTTCTTGTCTTTGCTCACTCATAGGAGGCAGGGAAGACTCTCATTTTTCCCTACCCAAGCTGGGTTCAGAGTCTGAGGCTGGTGAGGCTGAGAACCAGGGTGGGGGCGGGGAGAGTGGGGCTGAAAGTCCCCAGGTCCCCTTGGAG